TTTTTGCACAAGGGCGCACCCTCCTGCCAGTTATCTTGTACAAGAACGCTTCTAACTTGTATGATAAATATATAGAGGAGTCTCCGAGCCAAAAGAAAAAGCAAGACAAACCGGTTGACCTCTATAAAAACCGTTACTATGCGTCTACTTCAGCTCCAACTTCATTAAACTTTTATTTTATTTTTTTTTTCCTTGGTAAGGTTGGTCCAAATGATTGTCGGAAAGAGTTTATCATTGTTATTTTGCTTTTTATTATTCTTTTGTTAAATCTTTTTTTATATATAAAATAAATTATACCATTTAAATTATTTAAAAATACTCTGTATAAAAATTTTAGTTATTTAATACAAAAATTTTCCAAACTAGTTCTATAATTTGGTACAGGGTTGAATATTTGTTTAGAATTAGAGATGCAATCCGAAATATCCTCTAATTTAATTATATAACAAAATTATTATAAAGAATCTTTAGCTTTAAATAGAAAAATGAATAATAGATCACATCTCTATCAAACCCGAACTAGTTTGCAAACTTTCAAACTAAACTCTAACCAAACTATTAGTTGTGTTTGAGTCTGGTTTGAGTTCGAATAATAAAGTTTGGTTCCGGTTTGAGTTTGAAGATCTGCAAAATTTAGAGTTCGAGTCCAGGTTTGATTAGACTCGAACTCGAACTCTATTGGACTCAAACCGGACATGCGAACACTATTATTAACTATTGTAGTAAAATAGTAATTTAAATAGAGTTATATCAGTTTCGTATTGGAAGAATCATGATTTTAATAGCAATTTATTGTAAAAAAATTCTGTTACTATACTTACTAACTATTGTAATAACAGTGATTTAAATAGGCTTAGTTAGTTTTGTATTGAAATAATTGTAATCTCTATAGTAAACCAAAATTCTATTACCATATTTGCCAACTATTGTGGTAAAAGAGTATATTAGATTTGTGCTAGAATGATCATGATTTCTATAGCAATTTGTTGTAAAACAATTCTGTTATCATACTTATCAACTATTGTGATAGCATAGGTAATTTAGATAGAGTTATGTTAGTTTTGTATTGGAAGAATCATAATTTCTATAGTGATTTGCTATAAAAAAAACTGTTATCACACTTACTAACTATTGTAATAACATAAGTAATTTTAACAAGGTTATATTAAATTTGTGCTGGAATGGCCACAATTTCTATAGCAATTTGCTGTAAAAAAAATTGTTATTATGCCTACCAACTATTGTGACAAAATAAGTGATTTAGATAGTTATATTAATTTAGTATTGAAGAATTGTAATTTCTATAGTAATTTGCTATAAGAAAAATTCTGTTACCATACTTACTAACTATTATAGCAATAGTAACTTAAACAGGCTTAGTTAGTTTTGTAGTGAAATAATCATGATTTTTATAGCAATTTTCGTAAAAAAAAATTGATACCATATCTGCTGACTACTGTAATAATGTAAGTAATTTAGTTAAAGTTATATTAGATTTGTGATTTTTGTAATAATTTGCTATAAAACAATTCTGTTACCATACTTACTGACTATTGTAATAAAATAGTGATTTAGATAGAGTTATGTCCAATTTCATATTGGAAGAATTATGATTTCTATAGCAATTTACTATAAAAAAATTCTGTTATCATACTTACTAATTATTGTGGTAATAGTAATTTAGATAGGCTTAGTTAGTTTTGTATTAGAATGATTATAATCTCTATAGTAAACCAAAATTCTGTTACTATATTTGCCAACTATTGTAGTAAAAAGAGTATATTAGATTTGTACTGGAATGTTTATAATTTCTATAGTACAGTGGAGTATCATATTATTGTAACACTTTTTTAAAAATTTATATAAAGCTAAATATGTAAGATAAAAATCTAAAAATTAAAATATAAAGTTTTTAAATCTACATTTTTTAAATAAAAAAAAGATTATAAAATTCTATGCTATACTTTTGAGATAATTAGATTATAAAATTTTGTGTAATATTACACAAAACTGAAAATAGTAATTTTAAAAAATTAGTTAGTATAATTACTATATATTAAAAGTTAATTTTTTATTAAGTAAATTATACTTCATTATTATGTAAAATTTGTTTATTATAACAAATTACATTTAATTCTAAATTTTTAGTAATTTTTATAAAATTTTAAATGAAATATGATTATTTAAAGTTGAAGTTAAATTATTAAAATAAAATTAACAAATTGCCAAATGTAGTAATTTATTACTATATATATAGTAATTTATTAAATAATTTTTAAAAAATTATAAAATATTTAAAATATGTACAATTTGTCATATTAAATAACTTTATTTAAAAAAAATTCCTAGTTTATTAATAGAAAAATTAAATTTATATATTATTATATTTAGTAAATCTAGTTACTATGAAATTATATTAAAATTTAGAAAATCAGTTTAATATAAAAATTTAAAATTTTATTTAAACTTGATTATTTTAAAAACTGTAGCATAGAATTTTATAAACTTTTTTTTATTTAAAAGATATAGATTTAAAGAAGTTATAATTTAATTTTTAGCTTAATATCTTATATATTTAGCTCTGTATAAATTTTTAAAAAGTGTCTACAATAATATGATAAGCCACTGTATAGTTTATAAAAAGCAAGCTTTTCTGTAAAATGATCTACCAATAAACTAAACTGTCTAAAAAATGAACTTATTTATAAATTAATCTTGTCTAAATTAAGTTATTAATAAAATTATACAGGTTTTATTTGATTAGTATAATAAATAACTTTAAAATAATTTATTAAAGTTTAGATATAAACTTCATAAGTATATACTTTCTTAATAATATTCATTTATAGAGAGTTTACTATATCAATATTATCTTTAAAAATAGTTAAATTGACTAATTAGAAAATATATTTATTTAACATATGTTTTTTAAATATCAAATAAAATGGTCATGCCTTCAAGCTAAAAGGCATGCCTCTGGGCATGCAGGGTGAAAAATTCAATATGTGCATGTGCGAATTACACATAAAATTTTTTTATTTTAATATGAAGAAATCATGTGATCGTATATACTTCTCAAGCTGAATTTTTTACTCTGGGGGCATGCTCAAGAGCCCTGTGCTCCTCACTCTACAGCTCTTCAACAATTGTGTTTTTTTTTAATAGGAAAATTTTAATATAAGTGATTGTTAGAAAAAGTTGAAAATATTTGTTTTTTAGTATATATATATATATATATATATATATTTTTTTTTTTTTTTTAATCTTAGGCAGTTTTGCCAGTACTTTATTAAGATTCTAAGTATATTACTATATTATACACTTGTTTACTCCTAATTTGCAAGTCTGACATCACCCGGCTACCTAAATGGCGCCCAAGTGCAACCTGCCGCACTAATTTGAAGATTACTCTAAAAACTAGGGGCTGTGTTAAATCAGCCTAAGTGCCACACCAAAATAGCTTTCCACCGACTCTAATTCTATTCTATATTGTCTTCCTTACCAAAGTATCTATTCTTCTATTTGTAATTTTTTTCCTATCTTTAACTTTCTGTAATGTGGCTTCTTTAGAGTTAGGCGGTTTTCTACTCTTCTGATAGGAATTTTTCTGCATTTTTGTCTTTTCTTTTCTTTTTTCCCCATTAATCTTCTTTTTATCTTGCCCTTTGGTCCTTTTTCCTAATTTTTGCTGCTTAGAGATGCCTTTTCCTTGTTTCCACTCTATCATCTTTTCACATCTCGATCGCTATACAATTTTGTAAAATCCATTCCACAAAACATGTATCGCTACGTCTAAAGCTTTTCTTTTTGTTAAGCCTTGGTTGATAAGCTCTTCTATAACTGTGTTTTTAAATAGACCCCGAGTGTAGCCTTCTCTTCGTTCTTTTTGCTCTTTGTACATTTTACTAAATAAACATTTCTGAAGTTCACTTGTTTGTAATTTCTCTCTTTTCTCAGGTTCGCTTATAAGGGCTTGTACTGTTTCAATTGCTGCTTGTTCAATTTTATGCTAATGGGTCTGCTATGCTTTGCAGCACGCTAAATAATCTTGTGTTTCTTCTATATTATCTTTACACAACTTGCTGCTACTCCTCTTATATAGGTCTGGCCTTCTTTTAACGAGGTTGCTTAGTACTGGAAGCTGATTATGCAGGCACTTGATTAGGAAGTTGAGCTTTTTTCCTTTTCATATTGATGTACAGTGCACTCCACTTTGGAATTTAATTCTTCTCCATAGACTTTTTCAATCCCACTTCTGTGTGTTGTCTCTTGGTTCGAGTAGACTTACAGTACTTAACATTTTCCATTCTGCTACATTTCTTGTGTCTTTAAGTTCTTTGATAAAATTTCTTGTTGGGATTTCGATAAAGCTGTTCTGCCAATAAATACTGTATCTAAGCCTTGAACTTGCTACTACCTCTTGTATTCGTAAATTTGGTGCTAGCAACCCTTTCTTTGCTAAACGATCTGTCTCATCGTTCCATTTGTTCTTACTATGACCCTTAACTTTAATTAATTCTAGCTTCAATTCTTTCGTGTTTTTGGCATCTATAATTTTAAGCAGCAAAAAATAGTTTTTTTGTTTCAACCATTCTCTATTTGTTCTCAAACCTTCACCTTTTTCGATTGCATCTATTGCAGCTACACTATCTGTATATATCTTGATTTTGGTTCTTATCAGGGCTATAAGTAGAACTACCCATATTGCTACTAATTCAGCTCTTGTCGATAATGGCCAATATTCTATACTTAAGCACCCCTCCTGTAACTTAGTTTTTTTCACTTTCGTCAATTTGCAGCCAACCTAAACCCTGTCTACATAACGCTCTTCCATTACTCGTTTCTTTGAATAATGAGCCATCTGTATAGAAAGTTAATACTTTTTGGTCTGTTTTTATATTTCTATTTAGTTGATTTAATAATAACCCATTACAATATTCACTAAACCCTTGTTTTTTAATATAGTCTCTCTCTAACCTATCTATATAAACTATATTTGCCAGGCTTGCATGTTCTAAACTATATGAGCCTTTATTTGTTTCTCTCCTACTAGTTCTCTCTAGATCAATATTGTTTTTCCTAATTCCTTCAAGTGAGCTTTGTGTCATATCAAGAACCCAACTACTATTTTGCTTTCTAAACCCTTGCAATACTGTAATTACTTTTTTCTTATTGATTCACTCTGTTTGTTGGGTATTGCATGATGTAATCACTTCTTTTTCTATTCTGATTTTACCTTTCTCTTCTTTACTAATTAACCACTTCTCTGTATGAAATCCTTCTTTGCTCTTGCTAATTACTCTTCGAATGTCTGGCTCGTTTCTTTGTTGTTAACTAGTATCTAATCGAGTTTACGTTTGTCTTCTGAGACCTTTACTCTTTGGAATATTAACGCTAACTTGTTTGTGTTACTTGTTTGCAGATCTTGCTTTATCTCTCTTGTATCAAAGTTAGTGATCATCTGATTTTTAATTAACTTAAACCAGATTGGGACTTTTCCTTTACTAGATCTTTCTTTGACTCATTTAAGATAATGCCACGTGATCATCTGCTTCCTCTGCATATTTAAGAGCTGTTCAATAAATATTAGATCTAATGATTTTAGCATCTTTGCATACTGTATAAAAGCTTTTCCTCCTATTATACTACGTATTGTTTTACCTATATCTCTGGTTCCCCAACTACCTTGTGTTGGTTTAATTACTAATTGCTTCTTTGCTCCCTTTACTAAGGTGAGCATTGCTTGATTGTATTTCCAGAGTTTTTCAAGTACTATATATTCTTCTCGGCCATCAAAGCTCTCTGTTAAACCAGCTATTTGGTGCCCTTGCCAAATTCTCAGCTTAGTGATTTTGTTAATTACCCCTTCATCATTTAATCTATTATGTAGACTTGTGATCTGTTTATTTAATAACTCTGTACCTAATACTCTGAAATTTCCTATATTCTTGTATATAGTTATATAGTTTGGTATTGTAACTTGGAGGTCAAGTTTGCTTTTTGCTAGCCTAATCATTGGTTGATGAATTCTGTTTATTAAGTCTCTAGATGCTCTTGATAATTGAAGTAGGTGACAGAGTTTGGGTATAATACACATATTATTAATATATGCTAATTGGCTAACTGTAAGTTTTTTCTACCTTAGTGCTTCTACTGTTTGTTGTACAATTACTTTGGCCTTTTTTTGCATCAAATTTTTATTCATTCTACAGTTAAGCTATATTCCAAGAACTCTCGTTATGTTATTTGCCCTTTCTTCTTTAATTTTTTCATTTCTAAATACAATATATCTTTTCTCTGATCCGAACTCTAGATTGAAAACTATAAGGTTTGACTTTTTCCCATTTATTTGTATATCATTAAGCTCGAAGAACTCATTCGCAATCGTGAGCATTTTCTCTATCACTTGTCTATTAGGAGCAACTCATATGGTATTGTTTGCAAATGCTACAACTGTCACCTTTACTTTCTCGTTCTTTGCTTCATCCTCTTGCAACAAGTTAGAGTTTAAAGCCTCTATAGTATAGCCAAGCTTTTTGTTCTTCTAAACTCTTACTAAAAGTAGGTTATAAAAGATCCGCCAGAGTAATGGTGAGAAAACTTCTCCTTGTTCTATCTCATCTTTTATTTCAACTGGGTCTGTAAGACCTATTGCTGTTATTATATGTGACTTTCAGTTTTTAAAGAGCATTAAAATCAATTCTATTGTTCTGGGCAGGATCTTTACTTTTTTCATTGTTCTTTGTAGCATTTTTAGTGATACTGAATCAAAAGCTTTTTTTATATCTTGCAGAACTACCCATTTTTCTCTTTCACATCTTCTGTAATCATGTTTAATATATGAACTGGATGTTCTGTAGAACCTTCTAGTAACCCTGCAAAATTCCATCCTTGAAGAATTTGATATTTAGTAAGCACTTTTGAAAGCCTATTGGTAATGATTTTTGTTATACATTTTTTAAATGTTTCTAAAAGGGCAATTGGTCTTGTGTTTCCTAAGTCATAGTTCCAACTTGTGCTTTTTGGTATTGGGTAGATTTGTGCCTTTTTTCACTCCTCTGGTATGGCCAGCTCTCTTATACAGAAGTTTGCAAAAAATCTAAAATACTTTTGAGTTAATGCACTCACATTTTTGAGAAGACTATATGTAATCCCTGATAAGCCTGAAGCTATACCACTTTTTAAAGACTTTAATGTGGAAATCCACTCTTCTTCTATAATTTTGCTTTCTATATCAGAATACCAATCTTCCTGAACCCAACTAATTGGATGGTAAACTTTTGCCCAAGCTTCTAACTCTTCTGGCTTTTTGGGTAATCTTTCTTGCATTTGTCTCTCATAATGTGATCTAGTTTCTTGTAGGACCCGATTTGGTTCCGTAACTAAGGTTCTATCTCTGTTTTGTTCTTTGAAAATTCTATTTATTGTAATTTTATTGCAAGGTTTGTCTAGAAGACCACTTAGTATTTTTCCTTGTTTATTTTCAATTAGTTCATATCTTCGATCTATACTTAGTTCTATTTTCTTGTATTTGGTAGCTTCTAGTTCTTTAGCTCTCTTTTTATTTATTATTCTCTACCAACCTTTCATATCTTCTAGCCATTCTACATAGCTTTCTAATCTTATCTCAGGCATCTCAAGATCCATTTTTTTGTTTGCTTTTCTAATGCTTGTATTGACCTCAGCACTCACCTCTTCAAAACTTTCTAAATTGCTAGCTTTTCTTATACACCTTATCCATCTACTTATCTCTTTTACTAAATTTGCTAGCTGTGTTTTGGTGCTGTTATTTTTAATTTGCGTGATTACATTGCATACTCTCTTCTTTGAAAGACTTCTATTTGCTGCCTCAAGGATACTCGTTTTTAATAATGACCAAATTTGATTTGCCAACTGGGATAACCACTCACTATCGACATTACTACCTACTTCTGATCTTTTTTCTAATTGTGCAAGTAACTCTTCTTTTTTTTCCAGTTTTTTTTCTAATATTTTCCTATATTCTTCCTAGTTTTCATTTGTTGCTTCATCATAGAGGTACACTGTTCTAAAATGTTTTCTGTTTTTCTCTATTGCTGCTAATGATTTAAACATAAATGAGCTCAAATCTAATATAGCATGTACTGCTCCATGATCACTTTTGGTAATGTATTCCATATCCAAGATTTTTGCACTTGTGAGGCTTTCTATTAGATTCTCAGATATCCAAATTTGGTCTATTCTTGTTGCATTTGTACTGTTGGACCATGTATACTCCTTGCTTGTTGGATATATAAATCTAAATATATTAACGAAACTGTTTTTTTCCAACCATCTATATATCCTTGAAAGTTTATGTCTACCTGACTCTTAATTAATAAGCTTATCCAGACTTGGATCTACTATACAGTTAAAGTCTCCCATTATTACTATGTGAGCTTGTTTACTTCTTTTTATAAATATATACTTTTGTATACTTTTTTTTCTCTCTTCATCATTTGGAGGTATATATACTACAATTACGATAAACTCTACATTTTTAAAATAGAATCTGGTTACTAATATATACTCTTCATTTGTGTCTATACTACCCAGATGTTTTTCCCAAGAAGTTTGAACTCCTAACACTACCTCTGAGCCCTTCTTCTTATCTTTTGCTGTTTTTGACCAAAAGAACCTAAAATTATCCTATTTTCTACTTAAATAAAAACCTTCTTTTTTTTCAATATTCGTTTCTGTTAGTTCTATTATATTAATTTTCCCTTCTAGCACTCAATGCTCTAGGAGCTCAAACTTTTGCTGATTTGTTTTGAGACTATTAATATTGTGGCATGCTAAGCTTAGTATTACGTCTTTAGATTTCATACCTTTTTCTATACTAGTAGTGTTTGCTATTTTTATATTTACTCTAGAAGATATTCTTTCTGTTATATCTAGCCCACTAGATATTTCTTTTTGCAAGATAGTCATGGGCTGTTCTATCTTACTTTTCCCCTTTGATTCAACTGGGGCACCTTTAGAAGCGATTTGGAGCCTCATCGCTCCTATTGCTTTCTTGGTTTTCTAGATTGCTAAGTTTATTCATAATCTGATTAAGCATGCTCTTAATTTCATTATCATCTTCTATAGCTTCTTGGGTTTTAAATTGTTTTCTTTTCTTATTTCCTAATTCCACTCTATTCAAGCCAGTTGTATATTTTGTTGTTTTACACTTTTGCTCTTGTACTATTCTATTTTCTAAACTGTTGAGTGCTTTTCTGGATGTGCTTCTTAACCTAGAAACACTATTTGCTCTACTACTTCGTTCACTAACAAAATGTCTAGTATGAGAATTTCTAGGCTTATATAAACCTTTTGGTTTCTTTTCTATACTTTGTGAGGTATTTGCTTCTATACTACTCAGTGATCTTTTTTTGTAACCAGAATGTGGATTTGAAAAATTGGTGCTGTTTGTCTTCTCCAGGTGTGGTTGCCACTACAATTTGGTGTTGAAATAATATATAGCACATCTTTGAGCTTGACTTAGCTCCTCTTCTGTTTTGAAATATATATGTGCTCTTTTGCTTTAATTTCCATTTCGATTATCTGGAATATATACTGCTTGAACCTTGTATCTTTTCAATTGGCAGAGTAATAGGCTGTCTGATGCCATTGTTGGCACATTCCAAATTGTAGCTTTGAATTTGTTTCTCTTTTCTAATTCAGCAATATTAAATCTACCTGGAGTTGTTCTGTATGTTTTGCCTCTGTCTAAATGGATTGACCAGCTTTCTTTTAAAGTATTTTCTCTTTTTGCAATGCTTGTCGTTACCTTAATATATGCTGCTTTGGATTTAAAGTTTTGTTGCCAAGCCAAAATAGTTGGTGACCCAAAATAATTAAGATATTTCTTAATTTCGTTCGCATTTATTTCTTTCGATAAATCTCATAATGTAAAAAAATACTGCGAGTCTGCTGCACTTTGCAATTTGAATTCACCTTTTGGGGCCCATACTGAATTGAAAATGTCTTCATATTGCTTGAGCTTTTTGCTAATTTTTTTTTCTGTTGATCTTGCTTTAGTCTCAACTTTTTCCATTATTTGTTCATCAATACCGTAGTCGGAAATACCACACTCATTATGTACTAGCAAATCTTTGACTACTTCTAATTTATCATTAGCACTATATATACTACTCTCTTGTTCTATATAATTTCTTTTTCGTGAAGAATATTGTAAATTGCCATCTATATTGCTAGTAATTTTGGTGTCTGTCTTCACTATGTATGTTGAAGCGATTTCTATTTGAGTTGACCTTATGTCGCTTTTTTTAATATTCTTCTGTTTTTGTTTACCCACTATATTGTATATAGACATATCTTTAGCCTTTGGTTCTAAATTCACTTGTTTTGTTGCTTTCTTTGAATATACAATCTCCATAGGCTTAGGATTAGTTTCCTTATTGTTTAAATTGTACTGTACTGAAGTATTGTTCATGTTGTATTCAATTTCTATTAAGGTCGCTTCTGACTCTGATAGGCTCTTTCCTTTCATTTCTCTGTATTGAGCCAAGTTAAACTTTGCGTATCATAGCAATAGTATGTACTTTATCTATACCTAAAAATTTAGCGATCTTTCTGTCTTCTTCAAGGATCCAACTACTCTGTCTATTGTATATTGCTGCTCTTTCCTCTTTTGATTTCTTGAAGAAGTTTCTGTAATCTAGTAGCTCCATCATTTTACACATTTTTTGTTTGTTTATACACGTGTTTGGTTGTTTTGTTGTTTGATTTTCTATCTGTATATTGTTTATTTGATCACACTTCCTTTTTTGTACATGTTTGTTTACTTTGTTGTTTGTTTTGTTTTTGGTGATCTGCAAG